CCCCGGCCCGGCCCCGGCCTTCGTCCCGCCCGAGGCGGGCTGCGCCGCGCGGGCCCCACGGCGGCGGCGGCGAGCGGGGCTGGACCCGGGACCCCGGCCCGCCAGTCCCGCGAGCACCCGGCACGGCTCGACCCGACGGCTGCTCCCTGAGACCTGGGCCTGTCGTCCCGTGACGCGCCTCCCGGGCGAGGGCCTTCGGTGGGGCCGAGGTCGCCCACTAGGGGGACGGGGTCTGCCTGCGCCGCTGTCTCGCCCGGGCGAGTGCCTCTGGAGCCGAGACGGCGCCCTCCTGCTGGCACGTAGCGGGGCCTAGCGAGGGGCGGTGGTGACGGGAAGCAGGGTGGCGTGCGCCTGGCACTTAGTAGGAGCGCCCCGAGTGTCTGGTCAGCGCCGGACGGACGCGGGGCTTGCACGCAGGCTGGGAGGTGCGGGGCGCTCGGACGTGCTGCCTCGGGGTGGGGGGGGGACCGTGGGACGAGCCTCGCGAGCCGGGCTTGCGACGGGCGCCTCTCAGAGGTGGACCGGGACCGCTCTGAGTTCCTGGGGAAGCTATGACTGTGCAAAGGTGAGAGGCGGGCAGAAGGCCAGGGCAGTGGCCGGCGGGGCGCTCTAAGAACCCAGCGTACCTGGAAACAGGCGGCACTGAGGGTGGCGGCTAGGTCAGGGTGTAGGAGCACGGAGGGGAGGCCCTGGTGTCTGGCGCCGAGCTCCCGCTGCTCTCCGCGTGAGGGGTGGAACTAAGTTTCCGCCACTCGGGTAAGGAGTATGTGGTGGTGAAGCAATGAAGGCAGTACCGGGTGGTGATTCTTTGCAGAAGTTTGGCAGGAGAGAGAGAGAGAGATAGGGGCAGTGACAGTAAAGGGCAGAGGTGCTTTGTTTTGTTTCGTTTCCATTTGAGGAGGCGTTTCCATTTGAGGAGGCGCTCTCAAATTAAGGAGCTGAGAGAAAGGAAGAAGAGAGAAGAGAAGGGATCATTAATGGTGCAATTATCTCCGTAAAGGAAATGGCGATAGGGATGGGAAAAGGCACTGCTTCTTCCTACCAGACTTAATGCGTGAAGATAAAAATATTCTGAGGTGGGGAGGCCTACATACTGAACCCTGCATGTTTCCATGGTTCAGCTGTCTGGATGACCTCAAAGTCCTCCACAGGCCTGCTGGAGTCACTGTCCTTTAAAAAAAAAAAAAAGTGCAATTGCCCCAAACGCCTATTCCATTTAAAGTGGGAAACCAGCATACCTGAAATATCTCCAAAGATTTGTGGGGGAACTTATGTTTCTCTAATTATCACTGACACCAATTTCCTATTTCTGAAAAGTACTCTATCGTGCTCTATTAGGAAATTTGTCTCTATACTCTGGATACTACCCCATATATATTCCCCCCCAAATACAGAACAGTATGCGAAAACAAGCAAAATGCCCAGTGTTATGTGATTGTTAAATAATTATGCTTTATTTGTAGCCATTAAAAGTCATGTTGAAGAAAAAGATTAAGATGATATAATACCAGCTTATAATATATAAATATACATACATGTATCATGCATAGATAAAAAATGGGATTTTTTTCTTCTTCTGTAACTTCTGTATTTTCTTATTTTTACAGTACATTAGTGTTGCTCTTAAAGTCAGGAAAAAAATGGCAAGCAGAGATGGGCTAGTTGAGGAGGCCACCCTAGGCAGAAAGAACAGTGCAATCAAGGCCGCAGAATGAGAAATGCATGGAGTGTTCTGGAAACACCCAGAAGTCAGTTTGGTTGGAGCGCAGGATTCCTGTGGGAGGTGAGTGAGTCTGGAAAGGTAAGCCAAGGCTATAGGCCTGAATGCCAACCTGAGCCCTTTGTAATTCGCAGGCTGGGAATAACCCCTGGAATTTGAACTGTGTAGATAAATTTCAAAGTAAATTTTCCTGTCCCCTCTTACTGAGATTCTGGATCTCAGCCCTTCTATCATGATGATATTTGGACATTTGATTGACAGACAGCAATGAGGTAGGAGCAACAGTTTTTGCATTCTGCACTTTCAGAGAAAATTAGCAAAGAGCAAGCATGAAAGGAAGAAGGAATGTGCGCCGTAAACCAGTACTTTGCAAACTTTTTTATTTTTAGAACTTCCTACAATTTGACTGTTTTAAGATTCCATACACAAGTGATATCATATAGAATTTGTCTTTCTCTGTCTGACTTATTTCACTTATAGCATAATGCCCTCAAGGGCCATCCTGTTTTTGAAAGTGGCAGGATCTCCTTTTTTTATGGCTGAATAATATTCTCTGCAAGCTTTTTTGATGGTGGCCCTCATAAAAAATACATTCCACATGTCAAGCCGGAATGTATACACGCTTGAGCACAAGCACACACACCTCTGAGACAAAAGTTTCCTGAAATACTACCCTTATTTTATGCAATACATGCTGATATTTTCTTTTTCTTTTTTTTTTTTTTTGTCCTACTTCAAGTTCATCTTTATTTTAAGGGGGATTTTTTTTATGCTTTTAACAGCTTTATTGAGGTGTAGTTGACGTACAAGAAACCACGTATACTTAAAATGTACATTTTTATTTTGACATGTATACAACCATTGCACGCAGATATTTTCAACTTTATTATTTTTATTTCTTTTTAAATACTGGTCAGGATCTACTACATTGATTTTATGACCCACTATAGGGTTACAAAACACCTTAAAGCACATTGAAAAGAGGCTATGTTTGCAGTTCTCGTTTAAATAGCCATACAGGCTGTGACCCTAAGCATGCCGGATTTACCTGTCCCAGAAATCAACAGGACAGTGGGGGAGGGAATAGAAGGATTGGCAGAAGCCATGTTTGGGTTCTTCTTCCCTTCAGTAAATACTTCTTGATATCAATATGTCTCGGGAGCCATAATGTTTTCTTCTTTGTCTAGATTGAGATACAGATTGGACTTGATAAAAGGCTCAAACTCCCGCCTGCAAACCAGAGACAACTTTTCATTTGAATGAACAGAATCACGGACTGAAATATAAGGGACAATAATGTGTCTTGATTGTGACAGTACATAGAGGCCATCTTATCCACCACTGTTGGAGTATTACAGGGACAGTGAGTACCATCCCGTTCTTATAAGTTTGGAACCAATGAAAAAATGAAAATATCAACTTTATTACCAATAAAGCTAACATGAAGAGTGTGGCTTGGATAATAACCAATAGGCTTTTTAATATTACCTGAATTAAAATTACCTTCCCCCAAACTCCAACCTCCGCCGTGTAGAAGCCTAGCAACTTTAACCAGGTGAGAGAAGATTGTGCTCTCTCTGAGGGCAGGCAGATCCAAATTCACCAATTAGTTAAGTCACTTCTTCTAGAAGAACCAGGACAAATTCTCCCCTACCTGTCCTCCTATGAAAACAGAAGGATTAGGGAATAAGGATTTATCCATGCCCAAACATATTGGACCTGGCCCAATAGTGTATCAGTTAATTGGAAAAGTATTTTAAAGGAGTGAATTATTAAAAAAGACATATACACACTTTAACATTTCATTTTCAGTTAAAAACTATTAGAAATGACCACTTACCAATTTTTCTATGTGAGGCCAAACCTTTTCTTTGAGCAGGAGTGCTGATTAGAATTCCTGAGCTGTCTTTCTTACCTAAATCATATCCATGGTGATGTATTTTCTATGCTTTCCAATTTGTTTGTTTAAACTTGACTGAGGACTTAAAACCTCTTACAAAGCAGTATAAGTAGAGGCTTCTTTTTTTTTTTCTTTTTTTTTTTTTATTAGGGTGGCAATGGTTAGTAAAATTACATAGGTTTCAAGGGTACAGTTCTGTAATACATAATCTATATACCACATTGTGTGTTCCCCACCTGGAGTCAGTTCCCCTTCCATCACCATATATTTTAAAGTCGTCTTCCAAAAAAAAAAAATCCTTTGTAATCATCTCACACACATTGGCTTGACAGTAATTTTCAATTGGTCTTTAGCTAATATTTCTGAAGCATTCAACTGGCATTTCATCGAAACAACTTTCTTTTCATGCTTATGTTTCATCTGTTTATGTAAATTTTCATTAAATTCTTTATAATCTGGCATACAGGTGTCATAAGCAGGTTTAGGACCAAACACAACAGACTCTTGTTAGGCATCTACCTCAGCTGGTAGGAAGACATGTGTAGGTATTCCAGAGATGAACCACTACTCCAAAGCCTTCGGCGGCCATGGGTGGTAGTCAGTGTGTTTATTTGGAGGAAACAGAAAGTGTCGATTCCAGAGAGTCCATTAAAAGGAGAACTGTTATTGCTCATAGACTAGTATGACCAACTCTGTGTGCATATATTTTAACATTTTTCTTCCATCATTTATCCATTTTATAGATGTTATTGATATTCAGGACAGTGTCAAACACTATGGTAGGCCCTGAAGATGCATAGCTGATTGAAGAGGAAGAAACTGATATGTAAACTGGATGGAGAAGCATTGGAATATTGTGCAAATCCCTTTACCTTCTCCCTACCCCACCCCCTCAAAATCGCTGTCCCTCCATTCCCAGTTGAGCTCAAAATGGCTTTAAATGGCTTAGGGTTGTTGTGGCTATCAAAGAAGTTCAAATGGCAATACTACCTACAACTTTAACTATATACATACATATATATATATATGTGTATATATATATATATCTGTATATATATATATATATATATTCCTTATGTACTTTCCAATGCTGATGAAATGACGCAGGTGGTACATTCAGAGAAAGCTGTGGCAATGTAACTTGGTATAATCCTTTTAAAAAGCAATTTGAGAGTACTTCTGAAGAGCCTTAATAGAGATGTGACTCATCAGTACCACTCCTAGAAACTTTCCCTTGAGACATAACACTCCCAAAAAGAGAATGGCCCCATGCACAGCAATATTTGCTATATAGCCTTGTTTTTGATAGTGAAAGTCTGAAACATGAATGGTTAAGTAACTTATGGTACATAACATTGTGTAACTTACCATTGAGTATTCAGACAAAGGGTCATTTAGAAAAACATTTAATTACATATTAAATGAAAAAAGATACTATTTGCTCAACTTTGCTAAGGTTCACTGGATTGTACACTTTAAAAGAGTGAATTTTGTGACTCCTGTCTCAATTTTTTTTAAAAAGGTACAATCTGCATTTGTGCTTTTGTGTCAGCCAAGATCAGCATCGAAACGTGTAACTGAAGAGAGTTAATAAATGGACAGTGTACAAAGTTGTCGGCAGGGGTGAGGGACGCCAGAAAGACGAGCATCTGCTGAAAAGCCATTGTCGACCATAGAGGGGCACAGAGATGGAACCAGAGCTCAGTGAGAGCAATAGCTGAAGGAGAGCAAAGATCAACAGGAACTTAGAGGAATACGGCCCTACTTCTCTCTCTCTCCTGCCCTCAGATCTCATACCTCCCACTGGCTGAAGCCAAGAGGAAGACCAAGGGCAAATGAGCACACATGTCCTAAAAGGTCAGCCCTCGAGAAGGATGGAGAGACAAAGGCAGAATTATCTAGCAGGTATGTGATCATGTGATCCTATAACAATGTGAGAACTGTCTAAGCATATGACCAAGGACCTTAAGGGAACCTGGAAAACCAGTGTTTCTAGAGATACCAAGGGGAGATAGCGAGAGAGCAAGTAGGCAAGGAAGATTGTTACCTCAGGCTGAGACAAGGACGAGGGCCAGAGAGGAAATGTTTTTTTTGATCAAATACTAAACTAGAGTCTGAGCTCGGGAAGAGGTTATAGGAGATATGTATGAGCTACATTAGACCAGAGCATTACAAGTTATTCCCCCCTATTGGTTATCGCCCTGTATTTCTCCTTCCTAGCTAAGCCTCATGACTTGAACAAATAATTGTTTAGTACCTATCATGTGCCCTGGAGATTGAGGGAACAAAAGTAACATCCTTTCTCTAGTGGCGTTTCCATGCTGGTGAGGAGAAACAAGACATTAGATGAGTAAATGTGTCAAGGATGGTAAATGCTAATAAAGAAAAGCACAGGAGAACAGGGAAATAATATTATGCCCATTCTACTTAGAAACCTTTTGGTTTAGACCACACATGCCCACACACACCTGAGCTCCTGCATAAGTTAGGCCTTCAGTATTTTTCACCTGCACTAAGATCATAATATCTTCAACTCATCTTCCTGCCTGCAGCACCCTCCAAACAGTCCTCTACTCTGCTGTGACAACCTTCCTGAAATGAATCATGTCAGCACCCTGCTTGAAATCTCTAGTGCTCTTATTTGCTTGGAATGTGGAATACCATCTAACCTTCCTATCATGTACCTTTTCTTGTCATCTGCATCCCTCACTTGCCTCTACTTCTCTCATTCTCCTTTTCTCCTATCACTAATTGTCTATTGATTGTGCCACACTGTCTCTCCTTCCTGTACCTTTGCCCGCACTGCTCTTTCGTGCTCCCACACCCTCTGCCTCCTCCCCAATTTGGCAATCCTGTCCTCGTTCTCAGCCCATTAACTGTCATCTCTTTGGTCACCCTTCCCTGACCTTCCCGGGACTGAGGGAGTATCTTCCAGCTCCCTCCTTTGTGTTATCAGCATGTCTTCTAGGTGCCCCTGAATGTAATTATCATACCATATAACCTTATCTCTTAGGCCTAGGTGTACAGGATTGGATTAACCATAATCCATGGGTCAGGACCCTATATTCATTGGTTCATGTGTGATCCTCTTTTGTTACTTATAATTCACTGTAAAAACTAGAATTGACAACTTACATATATGCCCCCACCATTGCTTAATCTTTTATGTAATGTTTTCTTGCTTTTAATAAATATTTTATTTAAAAAAAATATTTTACTAAAAATAAAAAATTAATTTTAAAAATTACCCTAACTTTATAACAATTTTAAACTTAAAATATCTTGCGTCTTTAAAAAGTTGAGGTTGAATTTGTTTATATATATTTATTAGCTATATGTATTTCTTCTTTTGTGAAATATCTTTTCATATCTTTTTGCCAATTTTTCTATTGGTTTATCCTTTTCCCATTTTCAGGATTTCTTTACATGTTCTTTCAGTAATCCTTTGCAGTTTTTCCCTTGGAATTCAAATACACAGAAAAAGGTGATTTTTTTTTTCTGTTTTCAAAAATTTATGTATATGTATTTACACACATACAAAAGTATATGTGGGTATGTATAGACATGCATACACATTTCCAAAACATTGTTAACTTTAGTTGTTTTCTTTATTAAAAGACTATTATTCCCCACATACTATCCTAAGACTTCTTTTTCACTTTTCATGTTATGTTGCTAAAATTTACCTCAGGCTTGTTTCATGTAGTTGAGTTTATTTATTGTGGCTGCTGTACACTTTTCCAATGTGTGAATATGCTAATATTACTTTAATCCCTCGCAGCAAATGCTCTTGGTACACTATGTTCTTCCCTTTGGCCCACCTCTGATTTTAGCCAAATATGTGGTATCCGGTTTCCTGGGTGCTCAGTTACTGACAATTCCCACTACAAGTGCTAGGCCTTGGCCTCTCCAAATTTCTGCTTCAGGGCCTTTTCAAAAGCCACAAGCGCCTTCTAAGCCCCCTCACAGGCACAGCCTGACGGTAAAGAGAGCTAACCCTCAACCAATGGAGAAGATGAGCCAGGAGGAAAATGCTCCAGACTCCCATCCTTCAGATGGGCAATTCTGGGAGAGGCATTTTGTCTTCTTCTCAGGTCTCCATGAATCACGCCCCTACGTAGACTTGTCCTCCCCTGCCTCACTCTCCTCCTCTCCCTCACTCTTGCTGTCTGAGATCACTTCCCAAATAAACAAACAGCGCCCAAGTCCTTGTCCCAGCCTCTGCTTTAGGGGAACCCCAAGCAATACAACCAATTGCCTAAGAAGGAACATTTGGGTTGCTGCAGGTTTTTGCCCTTGCAAAAGTGCTACTGAAAATGTTCATGTAAAACCCATGGGTGCACAAGTACAAGAATTTCTCCTGCATGTTTACATTGGAGTAAAATTGCTGGATCAGAGACTAAGGCTCAAGTTTATCTTGTCAACTTTGAACTTTACAAAATAATGCTAACTGTTTACCAAAGTGGTTTTTACCAATTTACAGTTCCAACAACATTGTATGTGAGATCCTATTGATCCACATCCTCATCAACACTTGGTATTGTCAGATTTCTTGATTTTCACAACTCAAATAGATATCAAGTGGAATCTTGCTGTGGTCTCAGTTTGTACTTCTTAATGAGGTTGAGTGTGTCTTTTTTTTTTTTTAAGATTTTTTTATTGGGGAATTGGGGGATGGGAACAGTGCTGGGGAATTAGGGGAAGGGGAACAGACAAGTTGCTGTCCTTTTTGTTCCTCAGTAAGTTGTGGAGGACGTTGCTTCACTGGCCCAAGTTGGCACCATCATTGCGCTCTTCCCGGGCGAGGCCGATCAGTCGCCGGCTTCTGGACGGCCACTCACAGCCACTGCTGGCCGCTCACGCTGGCTGCTGGCTACATACGGTAGCCCATGGCAACCCACTGCCAAAGGGGCTGCAGCCTACGCAGTCGCCAGCAACTCACGGCAGCCCAGCTCCAGGTTGAGCTGTTGTTCAGCATCTTAGCTGTAGAGGGCAGTGTCACTGGCCCTCATATGTGGGATCCGAACCGGGGCCCTCTGGCATCCGAAACCAGCTCTTAACCACCGCGCCACTCGGCAGGCCCGAGTGTGTCTTTCTATATTTATTGACTATAAATGTTATATCTCCTGGGAAATACCTATTCATAGCATTTGCCCACTTTTCTATTGGTTGATTGTTCTTTCCTCATTCATTTTATTAATGGGATTTTTTTTTTAGAAAATACTTATGAGTTTGAGCCAAACTGATAACTGCCAAGACGCAAAATCTCAACAGAGCATGGCAGTTTTGCGGCTTCATTTTATTAATTCTTTGACAGTTATGGTTTTTTTCCCTTTGGAACTCAGGTAGTCAGAATTGAACTAATTATAATTGTCACCTAGTGTGACTTTTTTCCTGGTTACAGAATTAATGCATGCTTGTTGTAAAGGAAACATGTAAAGCATACAGACATGTGTAACTTCAAGAAAGCCTCCTTTACTCTCAGTTCCACCCTACCTCCAAACAGGAATCACTTCCATAAATAATTTCTCATCCCATATTTTGGGGATTTTGTCTTCACATCTCTCTCCCAAATTAGGCTGATAGTTTCTCAAGGGTAAGGACGTGTTCTCAGCCGCAGGCACAGTGTCTGGCCTAGGTCAGGAATGTAATATGTACATTATTGAATGAACTGCTACAAGGTGGATTAGAACAGAAGTTTTGAAATTATAAGAAGATAAGTTTGGAACAGAAAAATGTGAGGTAGTATTGGTAATGTGCTGGGGCTTGATTACTGAGCATGTTGGCCGTTGGGACAGAGGGTTTGATTTTTATCTTGGAGGCAGCCAATCAGAGAGGCATGCAGGACTTTTTAGGTGGAGGGAGGTTACTTGTCCCTATGTTTTTACTAGATAGAATTAAAACAAAACCTTGACAATCAAGTCATCTGATGGCAATGTACAGGGTATGAGGGGGAGGAGGTTGGTGAAAATGAAACTGAAGACAGAAAAATGAATGAATCAAGAAGTTATTAATTTTTTTTGGACATAGACTCCTATGAAAATCTCATGAAAATGATGCCTTCTTTCAGAAAAATAGACATGAACCCAAGCCCATGCACTTTTTAAGAACCCGTTGATTGGTGAGCTGTTCTAAGAGTGAAAAAAGAACCTGAACCATGATGGCAATATGTGTTCATTCCTTCAGGCACATTTACTGATCTCCAGCTATAAGTGAGGCTCTGTGCTGAGTGCTGAGAACAGACCCTGTCAGTCTGAGGGGTGGGCCACAGAAGGGCATGGTGGTCAAGGGCACAGACGCAGCCTAACTGTCTGGTTTAAAATCCTGCCAGGTGAGCTGGGCTAACATACTAAAATCATCTGCACTCCACATGTATTTTACAGACAGTACTATCGCCACCATCATTTTTAAGGGAATTCTCATAAAGCACTTAGAATTCATGGCATGCAGGGAGATCTCTGCAGAGCCTTAGGAAGAAACCTGAGTGAAAAGCAAGAGGGGGAAGCAGAGAGCATGGGCTTGATTTTGAGAACTTTAGCTAAAATGGAAGAGGAGAGAGAAGGCAGTGACTAGAGGGGAAGAGAGAGCAAGAGAGATCTTCTCTTTTTTTAAGGTGGAAGAGATCCTGCATGTTGTGGAGTAGGAGAGGCTGAAGACACATCGCCGGTGATCTGTTCTTCCCCTAAGGGTGCCCAGATGGCACGAGGCGAGGGCTGTAAGGCAAAGGTGCAGGGCCTGGCTTTAGCTAGGAAGCCACTTCCGCTTGTGAACTGGATGGGAGGAGTTGAATGTGGTGTGGCTGCAGGTGCTGGCTCTGAAGTAACCACAGGCTAACGAGAAGGAATGTCACCAGTGTCACCCCCCCGGGGGGGGGGGGAGTAAAGAGTGGTGGTTGGTGGGAGGTC